ACATCGGTTTTTGATAGCTACGATTGCTAGTCGGGTTTTGAAGTCGTACCTGCAATTATAGTTATTAGACTTATCCAAGTGGGAGACTGTTGGATTATGTGTCTAAGCCCATAACTATATTTGGTATGTAGTTGACCCGAGAGTAGCATGGTCCATTTCAGGTTGCCTTCACCAGAACAATCTGATAGGATGGATATTTGAGAAAGAGGTTATTTTTGATTTATTAATATATTATAAGTATAATATATTAATTGAGAAATCATATTATTTAATTAATATTGGTCAAGAATTAATTTGGAATTAATTTAGTGATCAAAAGAGGTTAATTAAATTATGGTGACTGATTAAGTAAACCAGTAATACATATAGTTTGGGCCAATGATCCATGATTGATTAGTGATGGACTAAGTTTATGTGAGAGTCCATGAAGTGTTAGTCCATAAGGCTTATCATATGGATTATTGGATTAAAGGCCCAAGGAATGAATTAGGGTTTACAAGTTGAAACCCTATGAATTCCACACTATAAAAGTAACCCCTTAGCTCCAAATTCACTACCCCAAGGGTTCTAAGAGAACCCTAGCCGATTTTGGTGGTTCTAGCCTCTCTCTCAAAGTCCTCCATTTGTTCGTGGTGTTTGTGACTTGTTTGAGGCATCACACTTGAGGTGCTAAGCTCTTGAAAGGCCAACAACTACAAGCTACAAATAAGAGGTATTCTTCTAACTAGTTTTAGATTCATTTACCAAATTTGTATGCTAGATAGGTTTCATGCTTTGGATAATTTTTGTTGCATGTATAACTAGAGAAAACTTAGATCCAAAGCATTAGGGTTGTATGTGCACCATAGGAGTGTTACAGTACTTAAAACCCAACACTAAATGCTTCCAAGAGCTCAAAAGGACAGCTCTTATGGGCTGGAACTACCAGAACACAAGAAATCTCAACTATGGAATCAAAATTTCACATAAAACACCCCAAAACTACAACTAAGCATGCAATGGTCAAGGTTGGAACTTGATACCTCAAATAAGTCAGAAAAGATGCCAAACTTCTGGATCTACAAGCTCTCTTCAAGTCCTTGCTCCTTCTTCAAACTCATTGCTCTTCAAAACCACCAAAACAACATCAAAATGCTCAAAGTAAGCTCAAGATACATGCCATGGAGTTAGGATTCGAGTTGGGCACTTTGAGAACAAGTGAAGTTGAGAGGATAAGGGTTTGGAGGGTTATAAGTTGTTTAAATATGGGGCAAACCCTAAAAATTAGGGTTGGCATCTGATCATCCTACGCCCAGCGTATGTATGGGTACGCCCAGCGTACGCATAGGGGCTCCCCGTTCCGCGCCTCATATATGTACGCCGTGCGTACACCCTGTACACCCAGCGGACGCTCCGCCCCAAAATCCCAACATTTCATAATTATAACTTGAATAAAAAGCAACATAATACCTGACAAATCCCGGACGTTACAGTTTCCCATCAAGAAGAAATAGCTTATTTATTGATACTTACAAATTAATAAGAAATAACTATTGAATGACTAATTTCTATATTGAATAACTAATTGTTCTTACATTATAACTAATATATAATGGTCTAAATTTTTCCTGACATACGTATGCAAAACAAGTAATATTCACAATTGGAGGATTCATTTTTTATACTAACATGTGAGGAACATGAGCTTTTTTTTTTGCTTCTCTGTGGATATAAATGGAACATTTGATTGGCATACCATTTGATATTGCAGGTTTTGGGTACAAAGTTTTTTCAAGAGTGGATCTAATATATTTTTTTGTGTATCCCATCTCTATTACATAAAGGTTCCGTGAATCTTTATCCGTCAAAAAAGTATGTTTTTTGTTCTTTTTCTCCATTTTTTGGTTTATACTTCTTGAAAAAAAACAACTCACCATTAAAGTATGTATTAACTATTATCAATTGTATTTTAAATATTATGCTTTTATTTCATATTATTTATGCGCTTCCAGCCCAAGGTCCGTTCAAAACAAGCTTCAAGTTGTTATTTATCGTTTTTTTTGTTAATTTTTTCGTTTGTTGTGAAATTTATGTATTTGGCCTCTTCTATCTTTACCGATGATTAAAATTTCATGGATACTAATCCTATCAAAATGTTTAAAGCTTGGTGATTGTTTAATTATTTTCAGGTTGGGATATGCATTTGTTAACATTATTGTGGCTCCTGTGTTAGTTAATATATCCTATCTTTCTCTTAATTATTTTATCCAATTTATAGGCTTATATACTTGTAACATCCCAAATTTTGAGTCCAAAAATTTCATTTTAATTAACTGAGTATAAAACATTCATAGGAAAACTACGTGAAAATATATCGTTGGTAAATCAACATAACATGTCTGAAAACCCAAATCATAAAGTAACAACATATCAGAGTACAATCCCAGAACATCTCAAGTGCGGAAAATCAATGCGTGTGTGTATGATGTGCTGCTACCGCGCCAACTCCTTCCCCTTTGATGAAGAGGTACCTGAAACCAAAACTGTAAGCACGAAGCTTAGTGAGTTCCCCCATCGTACCGCATACCATACATTCACATAACATACATATACTGTCAGGCATATCTGGGTGCCCGACCTACCCCTTCGGTCCTCTCGACCGGATACTGCCTAGCATATTTGGGTGCTGGCCTCCCCTTTGGTCCTCTCGACCGGATACTGCCTAGCATATCTGGGTGCTGGCCTCCCCTTCGGTCCTCTCGACCGGATACTGGGGACTATTTCACCCCTCTACTACTACCACACAACATATAACACATAATCATATTCTATCTAGCATGACTGGGTATGACTACCCCCTTCGGCCCTATCGACCAGAAATCTTGGGGACTATCTCCCCTACTGCTACTAGCATATAACATCATATCATACTAGCACATAACACATCAGGTAGTAGCAAACCTAGATGAATATCACAAAGACAGTCATCTAACATACAACTCCTACTGGTGGGCCGACATTGTGGCCGTAGACCCACCACTACTGGAAGGTAACTCACCTTGAACGAAGCTGCTGATAATCTGCGCGGGGAAAGTCTCTGTCTACTGCTGCTCCGGAAATCCTCCGGCTATAATCCCCACAAAACACTTAGTCAGAGTCTGATATCTATTCTCGGGGTAAAATGACCATTTTACCCCTTACCAAGTCCAAGACAAAGTCAAAGTCAACTTCCAGTTGACCTGACTCGCCGAGTTGGGCCGCCAACTCGTCGAGTCCCTATCCTTTCATCTGTCCTTCTTCACGCCTCTACTCGTCGAGTTTGGCAACGAATCGACGAGTTCTCCTTCTGGAACAACCCCGGATGAACCTTCATCCGACTCACCGAGTTGTATGAACAACTCGTCGAGTTCATTCTCAAGAGTTGGGAGATTGCCTTGGACTCGCCGAGTCTGTTCATGTACTCGCCGAGTCCTATGAACTCCAGGACTATGGCTTATCCCAATACGTTGGGGTCACTCCTCCGGACTCTCTAAAACCTTTCCAGCACTCCACTGGGTCTCCTTGACCTATAACAGAAAATGGGAGTCTAACCTCGGACTCGCCGAGTCCCAAGAACGACTCGCCGAGTCGATACAGTCCAAGTCTTATTTCTTCGATTTCTGGTGTACAAATCTTGTCCAAATGATAGATCTAGGTCCCTAAACTCGATCTAGCACGTAAAGTTACGAACTTTACGTGCATGCATGGGACTTTGAGTCTAAAAGGCTCTAAAAGAGACTCTTGGGTTGCATGGGGGCTTCCATGGGTGCAAAAGCAGCCCCATTCTCCCTTGTAATTCCTCCATGGACCTAGATCCGAAGCCTCAACCCCCAACCATGCTTGCAATCATGGTTGGTTACCAAGAATGGCTTATAAAAGCCCTAAATCTCCCCAAAAAGGGTTCTAGCAAAAGAACAAGCAAGGTATCGACTTTATACCTTCTGTGAACTGCAAATGGTGCACAAACTTGAACTCCCTTGGTCTCCTCTTGATTCCTCTAGACTTTTCCTTCTCCTTTGAGTTCAAAATCACCAAAAAGCACCACAAATGCCTTAGCTCTTTATACAAACGGCTAGGGTTTGCTATGGGGGTTTTCTGGAAGCAATAGGGACGAAGGGTGGCTGAATGAGATGTTTAAATAGGGTGCAGACCCTTAGATTAGGGTTTTGTCCAGTCAGAGCCTACTCGTCGAGTCTGAAGCCGACTCGACGAGTCCTTCATTTAAATCCCGAATTAAATCCGTTTCTACTCGACGAGTTGGTCCTTCAACTCGCCGAGTCCCAGGCCAAAAATGCAAAATACATAAATAAAATACATACCAGGAACCAGGTGCTACAATACTACAAAAAATAAAAGAACTGCAAGAGCAATTGGATGTGCACATACTAAGGGAGGTATGAAGTTCACATTTCTCATAATTATTTTATGCAATTTCTTTGATGAACTGATTTGATCATTCATTGCTTTGAAGTTTACATTCCATGTTGACTTGGTCAAATTCTTTCTTATGTTTTTATCGTTGCATGGTTTCAGGATGATTTGGAGAGATAACCTTTCGCAATCACAAAAAGAAATAAACTAATGGCATCATAAAGAGGTAACTTATTCAAGTAGCCAAAATGATTGTTATAATTGTAATAAATGCTACATATGTTTAATTACTTATTGTTGATTTGTTATATCCATTTTTGATTTGATCACCAGACTGAGTTTGAGACAAGAACTTTACAGTTGCAAACGGAAAAAGATTCCTGGCTTCAAAAAGAGGTGAGTCAATATTAATAAATTTTGTAACCCGATTGATTTTAGCATTATCCTTATAACAACTGCTCATTTTTCAAGGTGATAATCAAAAAATAGTAAACCGGTTGGTTGAAGAAATAAATACTTTGAACAAGGATAATGCCAAAGCCTTGCAGGTGATTGAGCTGGAAGCATCCAAACATGATATTTCCCACCAAAACCAACAGCTGAAAGAACACATGTCTGTTCTTCTGTCAAAGATTCAAGACCTTGAGAATTCTATGGCTACCCAATTATCATCTGAAAAGTCAAAGTCAAAGGTTTGTATCATTTTTTATAACCCAACATATTGTACTATAATTTATATACAATTTTTTAGGTGATGATCGATTTTTGTTTGGCGATGTAGCATGTTGTTATGGAAGATGAGGAGATGAAGACACAACTGGAATCTGCAAGGGGTCTGATTGAGAAACTGGTTTTTGAAAATGAGAAGCTTATTGAGAAAGTGAACAACTTAAATGGTGAAGTAACAACAACTGATGATCCAATGGTGACAAATTCTGAAGCTGATGATGAAACTTCAGCTACAGAGACAACTGATGATAGAATTATAGAGTCCATGAAAAAAATATAATTATATAGTGAACAGTCTGATCTTCGCAACACGGATAATACATCCATAGTTATTAATGTAGTTTTAATTAAATGTTAGTTTTTTAATTAGTTGTATTTTAGAAAAAGATTTTTATATATGATTATATTTTTTATTTTTCATTCGGACTATCCACGTGTTATTTTTTCGTTCGGACTATGAATGTGTTATTTTTAGTTCATACTACTATTGAGTTTTTTTTTGTTCACTTAATATATATATATATATATATATATATATATATATATATATATATATATATTTCGTTCAGACAAATCATGTGTTAATAACGATAACTTTAATTTTAGGGACTATTTATATAAATTATCTTTAACACTATTCAAATCATAGAGCTATTGTTATTGTTTTCGTTTACTGTAATCATTATGTAAAAATTGATTTACAAGAAAGGTATTCAATGCCTATTGTTTTGCCATTGTGATATTTTCACACATCACCATATGATATTGAATGAGAATCTATGTATAGTGCTAGAGTAAATGTGTACGTTCAACCAAATAGACCATACAATAATTGTGATATAGGCAATGTGATTGTACCGGATTATTAACAAATAAGTTATAGTTTATTTACTATTATTTATTTAATAGTTCATTCCAAACCCACTAAATCATATATCAATTTTTATATAAAACAAAAAATAAACAAAAACTAAAAATAATATGTCAATTCTAATATAAAAACAAAATCGAAAAAAATTAATAAAAAAGAATAACACATATAATTCGAACGAAATAGTCCCAATGAACAAAAAATAAAAATAAAAATTAATAGTATTAATAGCCATAATAATCATATATGTTTAATAAAAATATTAAAAAGAAAAATAACTTGCACTATATATGAATACGAAAAATCACTATGAAGAATAACACAAAATACGAATAAAATAGTAAAAAAAAAAACAAAAAAAAGTATTTTTTTTTTCATAATATTAATAAGCATACGTATTTAATTTAAATAAAATTATTAAATAGGAAACAGAAAAAAAAAGAAAAACAATTAGGGGTATGTAAAGTTATTTTTAAGAACCCTTTGAGCTATTAATCCCTTGTCTGGTTAGGGGTTGTTTGTTTACCTTTTAATTGTAAAATTAAAAAGCAATGTCTTAAAATTTTAGATTCAGAATGTTTGTTTACCTATTATACGTATTATATTTTACCTCTTAAGCTTAAAAATACCTCAAAAAAAAAAAAAAAAAAAAAAAAAAACCCGCGTTCCTTCTGTTTGCCCTAAATCGACCGCCTCTTTCTTTCCTTCCCCAACAGCGTCTTCTGCCATCGCGTTCTCCCCTCCAGGTCCGACGCCTGCGACTACTCCCACCGACGACGCCAGCGACGCCGCTCACCGACGACGCCAGCAACGCCGCCAGCCTCCGCCGCCGCAAGGTCTTCCAGCTCCGATTTTAATTCCGCCGACTGCAGCAGGTTCGATTTCTTCCTTCTGTTTCTTCCTTTTTTGCCCTTGAATTCATTGGTCTTGTTTGTTCCTTCCTTCCCTTCAAAATTGATAATCAAAAATCGAATTTATTATGCTATCATTTTCTGATTTGTTAAATCAAAATTAATAGTTGATGTTTTGCTCCATTATGATGTTATATGCTCCATTATGATGTTCAATGGATATGATCAAATATTGATGGTGAATTTTGATGTTATATGCTGAAATTTGATGTTATATGCTGAATTTTGATGTTATATGCTGAATTTTGGTGTTATTTTGATGTTATGTCTAATATTTTCATGAGTATTATGCTGAATTTAGATGTTATATGCTGAATTTTGATGTTATATGCTGAATTTTGGTGTTATTTTGATGTTATGTCTAATGTTTTCATGAGTATTATGCTGAATTTAGATGTTATATGCTGAATTTTGGTGTTATTTTGATGTTATGTCTAATGTTTTCATGAGTATTATGCTGAAATTTTGTTGCTGAATTCTTACTTCTCTTTGATGTTTATGAAATATGGAATGGGGTTCACAAGGAAATGAATACATGGATAATTTGCGTGACCAGATTGCGAATCAATTGGGGTGAAATAAAATTTGTAGGATTTTATTTGGATTTTAGTATGATTTTGTGGATTTAAAAATATTTATGTTTGATTTGGATTTGTGTTTAATTTTGATTTATGCTAAATTTGGATTTTATATGGTGTTTATATTTTTTTAATACATATTTAAGAAAATTTATTAGGTTATTTTTTAAATAAACAGTTGAATTCAATAAAAAATAAAACAGAAGGGTAAAATGGTCATTTTAATAATTCAGCACAACAATTCAGAGGTCCCAACCAAACAGCATGTTAAACATTCCGCTCTTAAAATTTCAGACTCTCTTAGAAATTCAGACCTCTTAAAAATTCAGATCTTAAAAATTCAGATCCTGCCAAACAGCCCCTTTCTTTTTCTTTTATTTTCATCTACGTCCTCCTTCTTTTTCTTTTTCTTTTAAAAATTCAGATCCTGCCAAACAGCCCCTGGAATGTAAAACACTAGACCCTCTCTTTTTCTTTTATTTTCATCTATGTCCTCCTTCTTCTCCCTCCGCCCCTTTCTCCTCCATCTCCAATCTCCCGTCTGCCTCCCACCTATCTCCAACGCCGCAGCCTCCGCCTCCGCTAGTTTCTGCAGGTAAGGTTTTTCTTTTCTTTTTCCTTTGAAAATCAAGTTCAAGAAGTTTTTTTTGCCCTGAAAATCGACTATCAGATGCCCATATGTTGTTATTTTTTTTTTCTTTTTCCTCTGAAAATCGAGTTCAAGAAATTATAGTTGTTTTGCTCTTTTTTAACCTCTGCGTTTTTTTAGTGGTGTTGATTCTTGCGATAAGCAGAACATAGCTTGAGATAATAGAAAGGGGTAGCAGTGAAAAGCAATTAGGAAATGGGGATAATTAAAGCAACGATTAGGAACTGGGGATAATTAGCAAATGGGCATTTTCAGAGTTCTAAAATACAGTTTTATCAATAGAAGATCAGTATATTATAAACTTTTGTACAAAACTGCAAGTATTTTACTTTTTACATGCTAATTTTGTGCAAATTAGTCTCAATATCTTATAGTTTTCAAAATCAAAATACGATGTCTCAATAAGGAAAAGGTTGGAAGTACAATGTTGTAATTGAAAGAAACGATACAGAAGGGTAAAACGGTCATTTTTATCATTCAACACAACAATTTCGAGGTTCCAACCAAACATGTTAAAAATTCAAACCCTCTTAGAAATTCAGATCCTGCCAAACATCCCCTTGATTATGAACGATTTAGTGATTAATTTTATTTAACTTTAGACATTATTTGATAACTAATCAAAATGTACAATCTTTTTCCCTTTTCTAATTTTAATTTCTTGGCTGTGTTGATTGCAGGTTGACATGGCAAATAGCAAGTATGAGTATGTAAAATCTTTTGAAATTGAAGATGAAGTGATGTATCCCAACTTAGTTGTAGTTCGAATTGATGGGTGCAATTTTGAAAGGTAAACTTACACAATCCATAATTCTATATTTAATTAATCATCATCATCATCATCATTATCATCATAACCTTGTACTAAATTTGTCAGATTTTCTGAAATTAATGAGTTTGAAAAACCAAACGATGAAAAAGCTTTAAATTTGATGAACTCTTGTGCAACCTCAGTGCTTGAGAAGTATCCAGATATAATCTTTGCTTATGGTTTTAGTGATGAATACAGGTGAGAACTTCATTGATCAATAAATACATAAAGATATTATTATTATTATTATTATTATTATTTTATATGAATCTTTAGTTATAGTTTTCTAATGTGAATTGCAGCTTCATTTTCAAGAAGGAAACCAAGTTTTACCAAAGGCGTTCTAGGTGATAATTTAGAATAATGATGAGTTTTCTTAATTTTTTAGATCATGATTTGCAAATTGCAATCTTATAAATAATGTATATCATTGGGTTAACAGTGAAGTTGACACTGCAGCAAGATTCTTTCCCTCATTGTCTCATTCTTCACATCTTTATATGTGGAAAAATGGAGGGAATTCTTTCCTCAAAAGAACATGAAATCTACTCCTTCATTCAAATCACGTGTCATATGCTGTCCATCAGTGGAGGTTCTTCAATCATATCTTGCATGGAGACAAAGAGAATGTGAGTATATTACATATTGCTATTATTATAGGTAAAAGAATGTATATATTTTGCTAATATGCTATTAAATGAATTACATTTTATAAAAATCAGGTTACATATTGCTATTATATGTAAAGAAATGCAAGTATGTTGCTATTATGTTAATAGATGAAGGGTAATTTATACGTTACATGTTACATATTGTTATTATTAAGAAAAATAGTGCCAGATATTTTTCTAGTATGATTTTTTTTTTTTAAAAACAATCTTTCTTGTATTTTTTTTTCTAGGTCATAGCAAAAACCAATACAACACTTGCCTTTGGATGTTGATTAAAAGTGGGAAATCAGAAAGAGAAGCAAATGAAATCTTGAGGGTGTGTATGATTAATGATTCATTTAGTAATCTAGAAAATATGTTTCTATATCTTTCATGTCAATTTTTATATTTCTAAATTGTTTATTATATTTATAGGGCACAAAAAAACAAGAAAAAAATGAGATCCTTTTCCAACAATTTGGTATCAACTACAAAAATCTTCCACAAATGTATCGACAGGGTTCTTGTGTTCTCAAGACAGAGGTTTTTATATCTCATAATTGTTATTTCCATTTATTATTATTTAGTTAATAGTTATTTCTTGATTTATTGACTTGAGTATTCATTCAATAAAGAACTAATCTTAGTTATCATGTAGGTTGAGGATACCTTAAAGATCCATGACAATGAACCCCCTGTCAAAAGACTGCAGAAGAAGGTCATAATTGTCCATTCAGAAAATATAGCTTCTAGAAGTTTCTGGAATGATTACTCCTGTCTTTGCAAGGATCTAAGTGGTTTTGAGCAAAATGTGAATAATATCAAACAAGAGTACATGAAATTGTTTCAGTTTGAGAACAAGTTGCTCCCATTTACTTGGATTGTAATAAGAATAGATGGCTCTCATTTCCACAGGTAAATTAATAAATAAAAAAAAGTAAATTTTTCTTTTTAATTTTCTATTTGGTTTCTTATTATTATTTTTCAGTAGATTTTCTGAGGTTCATGGATTTGAGAAGCCTAATGATGAGCAAGCTTTGAAACTTATGAACTCATGTGCAGTTGCTGTTTTAGAGGAGTTTAAAGACATTGTTTTTGCATATGGAGTAAGTGATGAATACAGGTAAGTTTTGTAATTTGATTATTGATTATTGATTATTGATCTTGTTATATTATTTTAATACAATTAACATATTTATTTTCAGCTTTATCTTAAATAGAAATACTCAACTCTATCAAAGACGCCCGAGGTAATTTCTACATTTTATATTTCTTTTTCTGTAATTACATCAATAAGGAAAAGAAAAATTGAAAAATACCGTTTTTGTCCTTGCAGTGAAATGGTGTCTTCAATTGTCTCATTCTTTTCTTCAACATATGTGATGAAATGGAAAGAATATTTCCCTAAAAAAGAGTTGAAATATCCATCAAATTTTGATGGAAGAGCTGTTTGCTATCCATCATATGAAATTATTCGAGATTATCTTGCTTGGAGACAAGTTGACTGTGAGTAAATTTTATATATTTTTCTTCTTTTATATATTATAATTAACAAAAAGACAATACCATTTTACATTTGTGTGAATTTTTATTTTTGTTTTAATTGGTGTAGGCCACATAAACAATCAGTACAATACTTGCTTTTGGATGCTTGTTAAGTCTGGAAAAACCACAAAGGAAGCTCAAAGTCTTTTAAAGGTCACAACTTTTCTTATAATTGTCTCAAAAACACCAATTTAAACACTTTTTTACATTAAAAGGTAAACCAACTTTGAAAGTTTGTCACAAATTGGTCCCTGTGACCTGCTATAGCAACTTTCCCTTTTTACAATTTTGACCCAAGTTTTATATTTTGTTTCAAATTTGGTCCAAACTAGTTTTACAATTTGTATTTACATGTTTTTTTCAAACTTTGTCTTTTACAACTTCTTTTGCAGCTTTTTTTTCCCAATGTCCTCTTACATTTTTGTTTTTTTGCATGTTTTTCTAAGATATTTTTGTTAATATAAATTAGTGTTTTTTTGCCTATTCGTTTTTACAGATTTGTTTTCTAACTTTTTTTTTTTTTTTTTTTTACATATTTGTTTTAATGCATGTAAGGTTGTAAAAAACATGTCAAACTCATTTTTTGACATTCGTTTTTACAAATTTGTAAAAATGAAACTAAGTTGGGAAAAAAGGTTGTCAAAAATGTAATTTTATAAAAAGAATGTTGTAAAAAAGCAATTTCTTTTTGTAAAAAAACAAAGTTGGGACAAAAGGCTGTAAAAAAGTAATCTATAAAAAAAATGCTGTAAAGGTTGTGAAAAAGTTGTAAAAAACAGTCTCGTATTGGAAAAAAACAAAGTTTTAAAAAACATGTAAAAAATGATTTGGGGCACATTTGTAAAAAACATTTGGGCCAATTTCGTGATAGAAATTAAACACTTGGGTCAAAATTGTGAAAAAGAAAATTATATATAGCAGGTCAAAGAGATCAGTTTGGGGCAACTTTCATGGTTGTTTAACTCGTGAAGGTTATAAAGTGTGTAAATTGGTGTTTTTAAACATCAAGTGTTATTTTATTTTATAATTTTAAATGAGAATGTTTGTTGTACAGGGTACTCAAACACAAGAGAAGAATCAAATGCTTTTAAATCTATTCAATATTGACTACAAGACATTACCCATCATATTCCGCAATGGCTCCTCTGTATTTTGGGACAAGGTCATCTCTCTCTTTACATTTCAAGTATTTTATAGCTGAAAATGCAATAAGTTGCAACACACTTTGGATTGACTTTTAATTTGGTGGTTCAGGAGATGATGTTGACAGATAATGGAGTGATTACAAAATCTTACAAGAAAGTAGTAGTGGAACATCCGAATATAATTGAAGATTGCTTTTGGGAAACACACCTGCTCATACTTCAAGAGATGTCCCCAAGATCATGAATCCTTTTTTTTTTTAACAGTAGTTTGTGGCTAGGTTTTGGATCCTTTATATTTATTTATTTATTTATTTAAAGTTAAAGTCTGTTCGATGATCGGATGAATTGGAATGACAAATGGATGGAATGAAATGGAATCCTTGTATTTTTGTATAAGGTTTAATGACATTTATTACTAGAAAGCCTTTTAGTTATTTTGTTTGGGAGTTGATATTTCCACTTAATAAATTGATTCATCCACATGTGGTAGAACCCAAGACTCCAACACTGCTAGCCACCCTCGCACTTGAACTTACTTGTCGGTGGAACCTACTACCACCACTGAGAATGTCGTCCACCAGCATAAAGACCGTTGACATTAATACTTTAAAGCTCGGACAAAAAGTGTAGATTGATGCCAAACACATGGACCAAATTCGAAAAGTCAATTACAAAATTTTCTTTTAACAAAAAAAACCCTTATACATTTAATTAGACTTTTACCTAAAACTACATTGTTAATTAATTATTTTTTCATTTAAGCAATCATTAACCTACTATAACATGTTAGCAAGTTGCTCGTACTTACATAGACACACTCTAGTCATGTCGAAAAAAGTCTAGTCCAAAATAGCTCAAAATAGTACAAAATAAACCAATATTTTGTATCTTCTGTTGGCGTATTAGTATTTTTAGTACTAATTTAATTCTGTTATCAAACTTCATTTGAATGTGAAAACAAATTCATAGTCTTAGTTATCATCGTACAACGAACGAGAAGACAAACAGGCAACAAGTTGTGCCGCTAAACCTTTTTGTATGACAAAACTAATTCTTTTGAAGACTACATCCATAGATCTAGGGGATATAACATTGCTATACATGATCCGTTGTATTTTATTAAGAAACATCACCGTATCCAACGCAAGGAAAACAAATGTATCAAATGCAAATAGTATGAACACGTGTTGATTTTCCATGGACGATTTCTCATGTTTGATGACCTTACATGTAGCAGCTTTTAATGCAAAATGTCCCGTCGTGAAACCCCCGACCCTCAAGCCCACGGGAGGGGATACCCCTGTAAGGTCTACATATGCGTGTTTTCCTACAACCCATCCAAAAATCAAAACTTCAGCCGGTCTAAGAGTTGACCTTCCTTCTGTCGGGTTAGTCAAGAAAATCCACATGTGCCTCTTTCTTGGCGGAAACCCCGACACGCTTAACTATGTCGACCGACACATCCCTAACCATATCGTGCTTGTATTTGGACCCCAGGAGCTCTTTACAATGAACTGCATGCTCTCCAAAAGAGTCCAAACATACCTTGCGACACACCAGACATATCTCGTCAGTTGGGAATATTGGGATCATGAGTCGATATTTGAGGATAGTACAATACTCCACAGGAGACATATGTTGGCCAAGCCCATCTATAGGGATAGTTAGAAGAAAATATTGAGCATGTGGTGCACGTAAAAACTGGAAAACTGCTTTCTGCCGAGCCGTCATGTCGAAATGCACTTCCATATCTTGGACATTTTTACTAAAAAGGACACTCGCAAGTGTATTCTGGTCATTGCATGTATTAAAGAGACTAAACGCACAAGCTAGATAGTATTATGGGTATAAATTTTGGTATTCAAGCATTGCGAAGACAAAAAAAGTAATAATATAGGTGTCTTGGTGCCTTAGAAATTCAATGTCAATGACAACATAATAGAAGCTAGCAGATGTTGTGATATGATTATGGGGATCTATGTAGGGGAGTAGATGAAGAACGTTATGTGTGTTTATGTACTGCATGTCAATTTAGAGGAGTCGGGAAAATAGAGTTAGAGGATCATCATTTGCTGTACTTAAGAGCATCCTAATGGTCCAACAATTGGTCTCAATGGGAGATGTTAATGTTCATATAAGAAGAGAGATAAATGGCATGCAGGGCCGGTCCCGAGTATTTAAATATCATCAAATGCCTAGGACGAGTCAGAAAAAGGGTCGGTCCTGAGGATCTTCTTCATCTATCAAGGACCTAACGTGCAACAAAAATACATTCTATGGACCGTCCGAGTTAAAAAAAAGTCTTAGGGACCAAACGTATAGATTGCCCCAAACCACAGGGACTATTCATGTAATTTACCCTGATAAAAAAGTTTCCCTCCCCCCCCCCCAATATTGGTATGTGGGTATGTATGATGGTTTTGGTTTTCTTACTGTGACATCCCCAAATTCACGGTCATTTAAAAAAAATTATTTATGCTTATTTAAAAGTCAGAGTATTCTTTGTGAAAAATAGTATTGCGGAATTTGTTCCCAGAAAAACATGATAAAGATGTTATCAAAGCATTTCCGAAGAAATGTATTTTTATTTAAAACATTAGGATGTCATTGTCAATACAGAAACATAAGCATAACGAAATATTACAGTAATTAAACTAGTGGCCTAATACTCATTGAATCTCTCAGCAAAATGTATCTTTTATATAGCCACCTGTGATACAATAAACTGAGTGGGTCAGGTTGGGAAACCTGGTGAGTACTTAGGGTTTTCAACCCACAATAATATCGTTAATTTGTTTCTTCACAAATTTCATGTCAAACAATTAACCTGATTACCCATCCCCATTTTCCTTATTTATTCTTCCCTAAAGATTTATCCTAAGGGTCATCTCCTACATCATATTTACCTCTCATCTCCTTACATCACATTTCCCTATATGTTTGTTCCTAAGGACTTTTCTAAGGATCATCACCTACATCGCATAGACAATACTGATTCGGGGATTACTCCCCCAATACATGTCTAGTAAGGGTTAGAGTATCATCGCATGAATACGTAGTTACTACATCGCCTGAACTCGTAATTCATCACCTACATGTTATGAGCCTGCCGGTGTTTCCACATGACTTGTTTAGATTAGTCAGTGGTCGTCATCTATACTCTAGTAAATGACTACATCACAAGATCGCAGGTCAAGGTTATGCCATTTCCTAATCATCTCTTATCTTGCATCACCTATTCATCATCGTATATCTATCATCACCTTTCTACCATCACCTATCTCTCACCACCCGTCGCTACCCAATACATATTTGGAAGTATATAATACTTTATATGGTTAAATCAGTTAAAAATCATCACATAATATCTTATCTAACACAAAAATATTCACGGCATAGATAATGAGCACATAAGCATGTAATTATCCAGATACTTCATATCTATGTGTAAGATGAAAGTAACTATGCACTCACTTGTTAAAGTGATGACTCGAAATTCGGGCAACGCTTCGCTTCTAACAATTGTCGTTTCCGTTGACGAAACCTAGTATTATTATCACTAAGTTTCAGTCTAATATTTATTGCGACTAATTATTAGTCTAGATTCATCATTAACTCAAAGTCTACTTTCATGATCTATCAAGTAAGAAACAACTAGGTAGGATCATATCGGAGGTAGGGTCCGTTTGGTATACGAAGTATACTGTTTGAAAATCCCACTTTAAACACCTCACTAAATCACAGCCTAGACATCATCCCCGTAAGTAGATCAATCAGTATAACGACTTGGAATCACTGATAAATCTTATTTATAGGCTCATAATAACGATAATGAACTTAAACATAAGTTATACTTAAAGTATAGTAAGCATAACTCACTTACACGGGGGTTTAGCGAGAAACCGGGCTCTATGCAAGCAGAACTTCTGAGCCGGAAGCTCTTCTTCTCGGGGCCTTCTGGCGCTCCAGGACTCGCTTCTAACACCTAGGAGGTGCTAGAGGAAAGAGTAGAGGGTTTGGGGATGTTTGGGTGAGAAAGGTGTGAGGAATGGAGTGATTTGCGCCTTCTATTTATAGGCTGGAAATCTCACGAACGCGGGGCGTTCAAGAGCTGAACGTGGGGCGTTTGCTTGCCACGTGTCGCCATCTTGTTCTAAGCCGTGGGGAAGAAGGTGCGGCTTAGATTGTGCCACGTGTCACTTACAGATTTAGCCCAAAATTAATTATCTTCTAAAATCCGTAACTTTTGCATACGAGCTCCATTTTTGATGTTCTTTATATCCACGCGTAGATATCGAGGGATCTACAACTTTCATTTAGACTCCGTTGGCTAATTTTGACTTTATTTTAAAAGTTATATTTTAACAGGCTTAGACAGTTAAAGTCCGTTAAAAATTCATAACTTTGTCATCCGACATCCGTTTTCGACTATCTTTATATCGTTGAGCTCCTATTAATGAGATATTTAATTCTCATTTAGGTTGTGTCGGCTAAAAATCGATCGATCTAAAATTCTATTTGCAGGCTGTATACTTCTATGCAAAATTTTAGAAAAATCATAACTTCCTCAAACGAAGTCAGATTTGGACGTTCTCTATATACACACACACACACTCTCTCTCTCGGTTTAACGTATACTACGACTTTCGTTTAGATTGCTAAGGCTAAAAAGTATTTCGTCAAAAATTCACTTTTTACGATACGCGACGCCGTGCCGGTTTTTGTCGCAAAACTTTGACGGGTCATAACTTCTTCGTTTTAAGTCGGATTTCAGCATTCTTTATATGTACGGAATCCTTTTGACATGTGCTATAACTTTGGTTAAGATTTGTAATGCTCGATCCAGGTATTATTCATTTTCGGTCCCTTATATATCAAGTTATTGCTTTTTGGCCTTGTTTTGCAAGTTTTTGGGGGAGGAGGGATCATTCTTGCCAAGATTGGACTTTTGGAGGCGGAGCTTGAATGCGGGGCGTTTACGCATGGAGCTCAAACCCAATATTTTTAGGGTTTAAGACCTATTTAAACACCTTAAGTCGCAGGTGTTGACCTCATTTCCAGCCTCCATAGCCCTAACCCTAATCTCGAAACCCTAGAGCCTCCTTGAGTGTTGTAAGCTCATTGTGTGTGTTTTGGTGTGTGTTTGAAGCTCATTCAAGGAAGAGAAGCTTGGTGCAAGGTGGTGATTCCATTTGGAGCTTATAGATCTTGGCTCTCTGCTCCATTTCCAACATATTTGAAGTATAAAGCTCTAACCTTGCTCATTTGAAGCTTAGATCTAAGTTTTTATGGATTTTAGTCCCATTTTGGTCCCATAGTTGATATCTTGTAGTTATGATCACCCCAGAAGCTTTGAGTTGCTTCTCTAGGTGTT